AGACAATAAGACAAAACGCGGAGAAACGATTTGACGTAGCCGCTAGACATGACAATATCTTTGCAAGCCGTTGACTACGTACCCTACGTGACCGACAATCACAAAAGATCTAGACACCAACTTTTTGACCCTGGCTGACCACCCCAACGACATCCCCCCTTTGCCCGTTAATCTTTTCTGTTCCAGAGACCGCCAGGATCAAATAACGAAGACAACGACACACACACACACGCACACACACACACACGCACACACACACACACACACACACACACACACACACACACACACACACACACACACACACACACACACACACACACACACACACACACACACACACACACACACACACACACACACACACACACACACACACACACACACACACACACACACACACACACACACACACACACACACACACACACACACACACACACACACACACACACACACACACACACACACACACACACACACACACACACACACACACACACACACACACACACACACACACACACACACACACACACACACACACACACACACACACACACACACACACACACACACACACACACACACACACACACACACACACACACACACACACACACACACACACACACACACACACACACACACACACACACACACACACACACACACACACACACACACACACACACACACACACACACACACACACACACACACACACACACACACACACACACACACACACACACACACACACACACACACACACACACACACACACACACACACACACACACACACACACACACACACACACACACACACACACACACACACACACACACACACACACACACACACACACACACACACACACACACACACACACACACACACACACACACACACACACACACACACACACACACACACACACACACACACACACACACACACACACACACACACACACACACACACACACACACACACACACACACACACACACACACACACACACACACACACACACACACACACACACACACACACACACACACACACACACACACACACACACACACACACACACACACACACACACACACACACACACACACACACACACACACACACACACACACACACACACACACACACACACACACACACACACACACACACACACACACACACACACACACACACACACACACACACACACACACACACACACACACACACACACACACACACACACACACACACACACACACACACACACACACACACACACACACACACACACACACACACACACACACACACACACACACACACACACACACACACACACACACACACACACACACACACACACACACACACACACACACACACACACACACACACACACACACACACACACACACACACACACACACACACACACACACACACACACACACACACACACACACANTTAGTGATGGGCATAATCGACCAATTTTAATAATCGAGTTATCGGTAATCGAGTACTTCTAATAATCGAGTGATCACTCGAGATACGAGATATTGGTCGTTTTCATCCCAGCGGCGCACAAATATGTTTGAATTAGTCATATATTACTTATAAGCGTAGCTAAAAAAAAAAAAAAAAAGCTCACGCATTTCAAAACCTAACCACTTTTTCATTTTATTCTAAAAAAAGGTTACGCAATCAGTGACTATTTGCAGTATGCACTAACATTTTGGGGTGCAACCGTAGGGTAATAATCACTCGAGTGGTGGGAGTAAACATCTCGAGATATCTCGAGTGGTCTCAATAATCGAGTACCACTCGATTTTTCACTCGAAATCTCCCATCACTAGAATTAATGGAAACCGTGGTGGAAACAGAGATATATCTCTGGGTGGAAACTGTTAAAAATTAAAATACTAATCTTATTCATAACCTTGCTTTTTCACGTTTTTTATTTTCATTACTATTACTTTTATCCAGCGACTGAAAAATGGAGTTGTTTGTTGTTAATAGGTATTTTTTATTTTTCAACGTCTATCTAACATAGTAATATACCTTCTTTGTTTAGACATGCTGGAGATGATCAAAATGCCCCAGACATAGAGACTAGAGAAATTGAACAAAGTAAATTAGAAAAAGTCCTCAAACGAATTGAAAAGAATAAGAGAAATAGAAATAAGCAGAAGGAAAAAGAAAATAAAGTAAAATTAGCTAAGCAAAGAACTTTGGAATCACGCCAATTTAAAAGAGAATTGAAATCAAAGATAATACCCATCCCAGATAATACAGACGATGGATTTGTTGATAAGACTCTTCTTGAGATTGAAGAATTGAACGAAGTAACTAATAAATTTAAACAAAACAAAAAGGCAAAATTGGGACCTGATTTAGAAGGTTTTACTGTTTTGGGAGTAGAAAATTTTGCAAAAAAGAGAAAAGTAAGTGTTAATAATACATATCTATTTAGTTATTTGTTTAAAATTTATGCATTGTAGGTTAAAAGGGTTTTACCAAAATGGCTGACAAATCCAACAGTGATATCCTCAAATCTACAAGACCTTCATACAAAAGTATCTGAAGTAAAGTTATTAGATAAATCAATTCGTAAACTTTTAAAGGCGAATAGTATCAAATATCTCTTTCCTGTACAAGTTGAAGTGATTCCATATTTATTACAAGTAAATAAACACTCAGATGTAATATTCCCTCGTGATATATGTGTTTCAGCACCAACAGGAAGTGGTAAAACTTTGGCTTACGTATTACCTGTTATCCAAGCTCTGAAACGATACACTGTAAAGAAAATTAGGGCACTTGTTATATTACCAACACAAGACTTAGCCAGTCAGGTTTTTAAAGCTTTTAGAAGTTATTCACAAAATACAAATATTGATGTGACTTTGGTAACTGGCAAAAATCCTTTTCATGTAGAACAGAACCAACTTGTGACAGAAAGTAATTTTTTTTATAATTATCTGAAATTGTAAATATTTAGTTTATTTCTTTTTAGATACAGCATTTGGACTTCTAAGTAAAGTTGACATTTTATTATGTACAGCAGGGAGACTTGTAGATCACATTAAATTAACTAAAGGTTTCACTTTACATGATTTAGAATTTTTAATCATCGATGAGGCAGATAGGGTTTTGGAAAATGTACAAAATGACTGGTTGTATCACCTAGAGAAGCATATCGATGAAGGTGAGCTAATTTTGTTTTTTTTTTTTTTTTTAAGTAGAACTACAAAAATAATTTATAATCATATGTTTTGTCTAAACCATCGTCTATTATCCCTATGAAAGTACATTACTAGAACTACAGTAGGTACATAAAGTTCATATAGCAGATTAAGTCTCTTCCATTTTTCTGTTAAATAGAGATTTTACATTGCGATTTGAGGTTTAATTAATTTGATAATACTTGAGGTGTTTACAGTTTAATCGATTTATATTAAAATATAAGAAGATATTAGCTAATAACATAAATACATTGTTTGTCACAAATTTGTCTATAAGTACATAGGTATTTATCATCAAAAGAGTCAAAAAAATGTCTAAAAGAGTATATAAATATCCTCAAATCTTGCTAAAATGATTCGATACCATTATTGCAACTGTCCTTTATAAAGTTACTGTAATGAGGACTATCCATTTATAGTTATTTTAACCACAAGTATTCAGAAATCCATAGAAGTAAAAATAATGGCACATTGCTGTGTTCTTATACCTACAGATTCCGTGTGTATACAGGATGCTTTACATAAAAGCACCATAAATTCACTAGCAGCTTCACGAAAAAAAAATAATGATTTTTTCTTATGGACCATGGGTCTCTTTTGTTTTTGAGACACAGGGCATCAAGAATCAAAATTTCTTGACAATCGTGTACTTGGTTCTTGAGTTCTTTTAAGAATCAAATGATTGTCAGAGAACTAAGAATCGAGAACTGAGTGTTGAACATTTAAATTAGTATTGTATCAAGTTCTATATATAATTAAATATGTTTTATTTTAACTATACTTTCTAAAAATTTTTATTATTTCAATCTGTTCCTTATTTCTAGTGTAAATAATATTTAAAATCATCATATGTGTAATTAAAATATTTGAAATCCCTTCTATTTTCAATGTATTGGTCAGTTCAAGTAGATAGCACTGCATTCTGGAGAACCGTCAGAATTGTTACAACTGTTACCAATAATAACATAAGAAATAGCACTTTTGTTTTTAAATTTTCATTATGAAGCCTGCTACTAAGAAATCCATTGTTTGAGATTATTTTATGTTCACTAGTGCAAGAAAAAAATGTGGTGATTTGAACGTGTTGTAAAAGAAATTTAAAATCTTACAGAAATACTACAAACCTTATAAAGCATCTGGTATGCATCTCATACAGTTTTTTGATCAAAATCGTATTGATAACGGATATATGGGCAACGAATGCCCTAAAGAAAATTCTGTAAAAAGAGTCAATACAAGAGGAATCCATTCCTTCAAACGCCAGCGACAGTTAACATTATTCGGTGTGCAATCCGATGAATTATCGGCGCAAGAAAAAAACAAGTTGATGACAAGTTAACTAAATTGATAGCGTTTGATTATCAGCCATTGTCTTTGGTAGAAAAGAATGATTTCAAGAATATATGCATACAATAATACATACAAAAATATTGCTATAACAGATGATACGTGGACATCAGACTGTGCGCAGAGTTATATAACTGTAACTTCGCATTTTATTTATGACGACGCATTACACACCTACGTTTTAGCGACAAAAGAAATGCTAGGAACTCGTACTACCGAAAATATCAGAAATGTCTTAACAACAATTTTAAATGGATGGGGCATTTTTAATAAAGCAATTAATAATAAAAATAAAAGGGTTTTCAGAAAATATGTCACACAAATCATTTACTTAAAATATTCGTACCCTAACACAAAAAGCATTCATCCACACATGCAATATAATACGTTCTTCCCTAAATCAAAAATAAACTTCCGATGAAATTGGCTTGAGCCTGTCTATCAGAAAAATATACAGAGAAAGTTATGAAAAAATTTGAAAATATAATTATTATTAATTCTTATTAATGGAGCAAACATTAAAAAAGCCATTAATGAATACCTGAAAAAACATCATCATCCCTGTCGTGTTGCTCACCTACTTGATCTCAGTGTAGTCGAGGAAATAAAGCACTAAAAACGGCCTTACCTCTGAAATCTATGCAGTAAGATGGATTGTCATGCGGTTTTTTGCATTCGATTCGTTAGAGCGTCCAGAAAGTTTGTGACCCTATGTGATCAATGAAAAATGAAAATTGCATCGGTGCATAAGAAAAATGCATTTTTAAAATTGCACTTGAAGAGTTAAAATATAAAAAATTTACAACTCGGAAAATATTGACGGAAATGAGTTCAATTTTACTACTCGGGGGTTTTTGGGGTCGCTGAACACGAATATCACGACGGCAACGGTCTCCGAGGTACCTAGTGCCCAGGGTGGCCGGTTTCCACGTCGTCTCCTGGAGTTTTGTGGAAATTCGTTATAAACTTAGCCGAAACTCGTTACCTCGGGGTTTTTGGGGTCGATCAACACGAATATCACGACGGTAACGGTCCTCGAGGTACCTAGTACCCAGGATGGCTGGTTTCTGTGACAACTATTTCATTCTTAATTATTTTTTATTATAAAAATACATTTATTCATTACAAAAAATACCCCGAGGTAACGAGTTTCGGGTAAGTTTATAACGAATTTCCACAAAACTCCAGGAGACGACGTTGAAACCGGCCACCCTAGGGCACTAGGTACCTCGGAGACCGTTGCCGTCGTGATATTTGTGTTAAGCGACCTCAAAAACCCCGAAGTAACGAGTTTCGGCTAAATTTATAACGAATTTCCACAAAACTCCAGGAGATATCGTGGAAACCAGCCACCCTGGGCAAAAGGTACCTCGGAGACCGTTGCCGTCGTGATATTCGTGTTCAGCGACCCCAAAAACCCCCCGAGTAGCAAAATTGATCTCATTTCCGTCAATATTTTCCGAGTTATAAATTTTTCATATTTTAACTCTTCGAGATGCAATTTTGAAAATGCATTTTTCTTATGCACCGATGCAATTTTCATTTCTCATTGATCACATGGACGCTCTAACGAATCGAAAGCAAAAAACCACATCACGATCCATCTTAATGCACAGATTTCAGAGGTTCAGTGCTTTATTTCCTCGACTAGTGTGACGGAAGCTATTAAGGCAAATACCATTCTATCAGATATTTAAAAAAAATGCAGGACCTTAGTAGGTCACTTCAAACATAGTGCGCTGCCTACATAGAAATTACAAACATCCAGATTGAAATGGGGTTTCTGATATTAAAGGTAAAACAAGATGTCGTTATGAGGTGGAATTCATGTTTGGTTATGATTGAACGACTTCTGAAAATAAAGGGTGTTCTGTCAACGAATCTTCCAAAGGCTTCTGAATTTCTCAATGATATCGAGTGGGTCTTTGACGTTCTATATCTCAAAAACAAAAAATGATAAGTTTATGGCCCACGAGAAAAAATATTCCTATTTTACGATGTTCTATCAGCCGTAATTTATGGTAATTCTTTTCAAAACACCCTGTATGATATTGACAAAATCTAAATGTACATTTTGCCATCACAGTATTTTGACATAGCAAAGCAAATAATATGTGGTATGGTTATATATTTTTTTTTGAGGTGTGTAAACACTTTTTGTGTATTAATACTAATAAATATCTATATCTATCTATCATTATCCTTAAAAAAACATGGAATTTTTATAATATTTAATAAACAACATTAAGATGTATGTCAATATTTACAATCAATACTAATTTCAGTCAGTTAATAAATAATGAAATTGACAAGATTTTTATTACATTGTACCTTGTAATTTAATAATCAATTCAAACCTCTATCCCTCTTCATTATGCAACATAATCGCAACACATGTTATTGTTATTTCAAAATCTTTAAGCTTTCAAATTATGAAGTATTGTGCTACCCCATATCACAGTTTTATGTACATACTAGTTGTTAGTTGCTGAAATAATTATTGTACAAAAACATATTTTTTTAGAGCCAGATTTGCAAATGGGAAAGATCCTCAATCTCTTTACCCTACAGAAAAAGAGACCACCACAGAAGCTATTATTCTCTGCTACTTTAACCCAAGATCCAGAAAAACTACAAAAATTGTCCTTGTTTCAGCCCAAGTTGTTTACTTCAATTATTGAGGACTCTAAGGAGGCAACTGAATTAGAAAAGACCAATGTAGAAACATTTGTAGGCAAATACACTACACCAAAAGAATTAGCAGAGAAATATGTGCTGACATCGTTGGATCTAAAACCATTGTTGTTGTATAAGTTGATAATGATGGAGAAGCTGACTAAATGTGTCATTTTTACCCACTCCGTCGAAAGTGCACATAGATTATCAATTTTACTTAGTTCTCTGTTTAAGAATGAGTTGAAAGTGGAAGAGATTTCTTCGAAATTGCAGGGGAAGAATAGGACAACTCTAATTGAAAAATTCTCTAATGGAGAAATTGATTTGTAAGTTAATGCTTTAGAAGATATAATAATTAACTGTGGCAGCTGGCAGAACTAAAGTGGTCATATTTTAATAGTGAAACCTTTTTCTGGGAACGACTTTTAGACCCACAGAAAACTTTCACAATGAAAAATTCCAAATGAAATTTACAAAATAATCATAATCAAGTGATACATACAGATGTTTTTTACTTTTCACAAAATATTCATTTTTCTTGAAGTTATAGTAATGAATTTTGGAAAATGGAATGTTAATTAAAATTTAAATGAAAATAACTGTTGAAAAGTTTGTGAAAAATCAAAAAGCACTTAATTATGTGCCTACTAGATTAAAAAATATGTATTTTGTACAGATAGTACTTATAATGAATTTTGGAAAATGGAATGTTAATTAAAATTTAAATGAAAATAACTTGAAAAGTTTGTGAAAAATCAAAAAGCACTTAATTATGTGCCTACTACATTAAAAAATATGTATTTTGTACAAATGTGTACCACTCTTCAAGTTTTCAGAGTAGGCAATCCCATTTTTAATTTTTCAAATTTCATCCGATTACTTTCATTACTACTGCCACTAATAATTGGTTTCTAATTATACCGCACACAAAATTTATTTATTTTTTTTTTTCATATACTTTTTAACAGAATATGATACCCCTTACATTTTGACCCATTGTATACGATGGAGCCATCACGTCAGAATTTTTCTCAAACCTCAAAAAATTGCTCAAAATCAGTGGAAATCTCGATTTTTTGTTAAAATAGTTAATATTTTAAAATTGAAGTATACAAAATAAAAACTGTTTTCTGCACTTTTTTTTGTAAAATGCCTTCTTGAGGAGTTGCAGCCATTTTAAATCAATTTTGAATATTAAAATGCCTATAACTCTTTAAGAACACATTTTAGAGAAAAAAGTGCAACAATAAAAGTTTTTATTTTGACTCAATTAACACGTAAGTCCTTTGGGAGATTGTCCTTGGCTCTTACAGTGGTCAATTCTACTTGGGGCGTCTTTGGACGGCTTCGTGATCTCGGTTGGAAAGATGAGTGATGTCCCTCCTATATAGGGTTGCCAGATGTGCTTGAAAAAAAAAAAACGGACAGCATTCCAAAAAAAAACAAATTAAATAAATAATTCTTTTATTCCACAATGAAAAACAAACAAACAAAACAATATTTATACCTAAGTAAAAAAAATGTCAATAACGTTAAAATCTTTTTCATTTAATTTAATATTTTTTGCATTAGATGCCGCTGCTTTTAACAACTCTCTATTACCTGATATGTTATTTTTGAATCCAGTGCAAGTGCTATTTATGTTAAAGAAAACGCAAAGCTCACATTTTACAATTTGCAGTAAGCTTTTGTATCATCTTCGTTATACTTATTTATCCACGAAAATTGCGTTTCCCAGTCTATATTATAATGACACATTCTTCGAATTTTTTTAGGCGCACTTGCTTTGCTAGTAGAGGCGTTTTCCATTTTTATTAATAAAGTTCTTAACTTCTTAACGTTCAAAACAATAATAAAATTAAACCAAATAAAATATTCAAATATACCGCGTGGCTAACAAGTGTACACTGTAAACTATAACACTTGCATATAGGTAGCGGATTTTGAAATGAGCTATGAGTCATACCAACGCAGTACACAAGTTTACGGAACTATCAAGCGAGGCGGACTTTTTCAGTTTTCACTCTACATAGGGATGGGCAAAAATAACCGTTTAAATGAATAACCGATTATTGTGTCGGTTAACCGGTCAAAAACCGGTTATTTCCCGACTTCGGTTTAACCTGATAACTGATTATTTATGTCAAAAACCGCATGCCGGTCATTTTACCGAGACCGAGTGAAAATTTTATTTCTAGCTCACTGTACGATTAAAGTATATTCTGCTCTATCCCTAAACTTGACAGTAGATCAGACCACAGCATAAATAAAATAAATAAATATTTATTTTGCTGTGATCAGACTTAAACCATCGTCGGCCGGACATTCTATTTAGTGGTCTGTGGGTCAGACTACGCTAATTAGGCTTCCTTGACCGGACAAAACATATTGGTCATTATGAAGTGTCAAAATAACAATAAATTTCAGCTGTCAAATTAATGTTTTATTTCTCCACGATATGAAAACCTAACCATTTGATAAAGTTTTAAAAAATAAAAATAAGCACTGCTTGGTGTTTGAATAAAAGTAAAAAAATATAATTTTTTAAATCAGATGCGTGACTAGGTACACAGTTTTTTAATACAGAGATAAATTAGAGCACTCACAAAAATTTAAAAGGGCTGGTTATTTCAATAACCGGTTTTTAGGTAGAGGTTAACCGATACAGGTTTAACCGACTAAAAAAAATAACCGCTTAACCGATAACTGATTATTTTTCAATAACCGCCTATCCCTACTCTGCGATCTATGAATCCAGTGCATTGTTGCCCGTTAGATTTGCGCAACAAGTTCAAAGGCAAAATAAATTCGTTTTCCGCGCGCTGTTGCCGCTGTTACCGTTTTTAGGCAAACATTTTTTCCCAAATTGCAGGATATTTTTTATGAATTCAACAAAAAACTGGACATTTGCTTGTCCGGTTTACCAAACTTTTTTCAACCGGACAGGCATCAAAAAAACCGAACTGTCCGGTCGAAAACAGGACATCTGGCAACCCTACTCCTATAACATGTGTTTCTTAATGATCCTTATGATTTGTATTAATATTACACCACACTTTACATCAGCATAAAAAACAAATCAGTACACTTAACTCTGGAATATTTTTTTACACATCCTGTATACAAGCATTTTTTTAACTTAAATTAACATAAACATAGCACATTCGCTTGTCATTTGTGTTTAATATCTTAGAATAGTTAAGATAACATTTATCCTATTTTAGGTTGGTTTGTACAGATACTCTTGCTAGAGGCATTGATCTTCCTCATGTACAGTGTGTCATTTCCTACTCGGCTCCGAAACATCTCAAAACATATATTCACAGAGCAGGAAGAACAGCACGGGCAGGGGAAGAAGGGTTAGCTGTGACTTTGCTGCATAAATCACAACTTACAAAATTTAAGGTGATGCTTCAACAAGCTGGAAAGACAAACATTCAAGAGGTAGGTTTGAAAGAAACCATTAATAGTTGTAAAGGCAAATTATAATTAGTTCTTTTTTAGTTGATTATATCTGAGGAAGATTTGGAACCCTTGGGAGAACAGTATAAGCAATCCTTGCAGGAGCTCAAGAAAACTGTGGAAATAGAAGAGAGATTGCATCTAAAAAAAGTTATTTCAGCAAAGGGAAAGAGAGGCTTCAAAAGAAAACGTAAAGAGTCCATTGGTAGTGTTATTAGCAATGTTAGTGAGGATATTTAAAGCAATTTTAAGAATTGTTGCACACTTTACATTCTACCCACCTTTATCTTTTTTACATTTCTATTTAGCAAAAAATTAAAGTTTTATGAAAATTTAAAAAAATATAAAAATTAATTTACCATATTTTTCTAAATAGACAGGTAAAAAAGATAAGGGGGTAGAATGTTCTGTGAATGACACTGTACAAAAAATTTTATTTTTTATTTAAATAAAAGAAATATAAGTTTATTGTCTTCATTTCTATTTTCCTGAATGATGTATGCATTGTATGCTATAAAAGTGTTAAATTCGTGTGATGAAATTTGTTTCCTGCACATCCATTTCCTCCTCAAAGTACTGTAGCGTCAGTGGAAAGAACTTTGCTGAGATCTACAATGGTACAGGATCAGTTAATGGGCCTAGCTTTGCTACACGCACATCACAATATTCAGCTTATTATGGATGAGATTATTTGTGAACATAAACACGCATTGACTAGAATTTGTTCTTTGGACCAAAGATGAAAATTAACTAATGAAGATTAACTTTTTTTGTAGATGTCAATTGTACAAAGCCCCTCCCCCAAATTCTTCCCCATCATAAATAATTCACACTTTTTCCTGCACAATATAGTCTTGTTAGTTAAACAAATAGACCGATGGAAGACTGAAAATTTATTACGAAAACCATGGAAAAAAATGTTTATGGAACGATTTTACTCATAAAAATAATGGTATATACAGGGTGAGTTTTTTCAATGTTAGTGTAGGGATCTGGCAAAGTAGCAGAAATACAAAAAAGCTTAAATAAGGAAATGTGCAGTTTTATGATCCTTATTACTACTTTTATTTTTTGAAATAAACGTCATGGCTGACTAGATATATTTGGAAAAATCGTGTAGCTTGTAGCTCCGTTGCTATTTATTTTACAAAAAAAATTTAAATTACAATCCAATCGTTCGTGTACACTTTAGTTTTTAAGTTATAACATAAACTTTAAGTTTTTTAAATGTAAACCATAGTTAGCTATGAGCTAGAAAAATTGTCTTTTTTTATGTTTTCCAACGATGTAATGTTCGGTATTGTTATCTCAAAAATTGGAAAACTGCAGCTGCTTTTAACTTTTCAGTTGCTCGCTGACGTAGATGGCTGTGAAAACAATTGAAATGTTTACTGACAGCACTTTTAGTTATTGTAGCATTATTTGACAGTTATTTTTCTTTCTTAAAAGTCATTTCAATTGCCAAAGACAATGAATTTTTCAAACGAGGAAAAGCATAATATTATTGAGTGATTCATTCAGGAAACTTTTGACAATATTAACACACGTTCTGTGAGAAAAGCCTCAAATTCTATTTCAAAAAGATGTATCTTGTGCATTAATAATAACGGTGGAGTTTTTTAACAATTACTTTAATATCTTTGTTCATAAAATTCTAATATTTTTGGCGTCTTTGTTAGGTATTTCATTTACTCACCACAAACGATTTTCATCATTATGATTTAAATTCTTTATTCTTTGCTGATTACTATTGTTTTATCTAAAATATGCCAGTCACACACTGCTCCACGGTGCCCTGACGCCTACAGAGATACGCACATGATGCCGATTTCAATTGTTCACAGCCATCTACGTCAACGAACGATAGAAAAACAGCTGCAGTTCTCTCATTTTTCAAAATAATATCGAGTTATATATTGTACGCGAAGCGCAAATGACTCCATCTGTCGTGCTGACTTCCCACTATGCCTTTCAAATGGTTACTACGGTAGGAAACGCACGACAGATGGAGCCATTTGCGCTTCGCGTACTATGTACCTCTTTGTCGTGAGTATGCGACACTATAACAGCTGGATTGTTCGTCGGTTGTCTCACCTATGACACACTGATGAGGACTAATAAGTCCGAAACCGGTCTGTGCACGCTTGG